TGTAATTTGATGCAATGGAATATCTAACTATGTACACTGTACAGTATATATTTGCACGTCTGTAATTTTCCAGAGACGCATCTAAACTGTACTTCATAATACTGTACTATACATGTCCTTACTGTTAAAACTGCTTGCAATATAACAGGCCACATATAACATTTGAAAACATCAGTGGGCTAATATTTCGTTTTGAATTTAAAAATGATGAACTATTATATAATAAATAATACAGTTTACATACAGTATTACAGTGGTGAATAGTGATGGTGCTTCAGAGATCCTGGCTCCTGAGTTTGATTCCAGACTGGGGCTCTTGTTTCTGTGGGTTTTGCCTGTTCTCTCCATGTTTTCTGTGCACAGATTTCCTTCTTCCTCTCAACAACTTGCTGATTAAAATGTGTCTCTAAATGGCCTGTCTGTGCAAAGGTGAGTGCCCTGCACTGGACCAGTATCGTGCCCAGGAGGAAGTCCTACCTTGTGCCCTGTGCTTCCAGAATAGGCTCTGGCTTGCCACGACCCTTATCAGGAATAAGGAGCTGTGATAGCGGATTATTAATTACTGTTAGAAAAGTCATCATTTTTTATTTCATTTTCATTTCTTACTTCTTTCTGTTGCCATAATAATTGCAGTGCTGTTGCTGTAAAAGGTGCATGAGATGCAATCAGCTGTACTAGGAAGTGTGCCTCAGCTTCTGAAATTGACCTCCCAGCATCCACTGGGAGATTTAAAGGCCCTGGAGCACAGAAGCAGGAAGGAGTTGAGTCATCACTCACATGAACGCTCAGGAGACTTCACTGTGACACCATGTCCAGCTGAACAAGTGTCTTCAGATTGCCTATGACATAGATCCATTTACTGAAATAGTACCTATACCTTCAGAGCTGACTCCTGCTCAGCTATACAAGCATTTGAATTTATTACAGTTTGTTTGCATTGACGTTCTAATTAGTTAATGTTTAAATAAAGCCACTTATAACTAGTATGCGAATTCCTGATTTGCTATTCTTATTGCAGTTAGGATTCTCATTTCCATTCAAACTCGGGAGCTAAATTAATCTCGACAGTCGAATTAACATCGGGGTTAATTTGGGATGTATTATTAGAAATGCTGTTTTTCAAGTAATTGAGAAGGTAGATTGTATTTGTTTCTGTAATAGTCTTTAAAACATCATCTACAGTCTCAAGAAATGTTTTCACCGTCACTGTTAGCCGTGTTGCGCGTTTTTGCCTGCTTGGCTGTTGTTCAGGATTATTCAGGGCTGGCTGGGTTTTCACCTTTCATTAAAGCGAAATCAGGGAATGGGGGAGATCATCCCATCTTCCACGAATGAACGTTATCGCATCTGGGAGAGAACTGAGATGACCAAAAGACTTGTGTAGAAGTCGGGAGAGTTCCCGGTCGTAATTTTCCGTAATAAATCCATATCACACACGATAACGCGGATCATCTAAAGCCAGGACGCTGGCCACTTTACCAACGTAAAGTACTTAAAATCTTACTTAAATCTTTGCCTTTAATAATGCTATTTGCATAATATTCGCAAGGGACCGTCTGAAAATATTGTTGTTGTTTTTTGTCTAATAAGCACACACCGTTGTTATCATTGTCACTATATTATTACTAAATTTACAATTTAATTACAGTATTAGTCGTTGTGGTATTATTACTAGTATGATTAGTATTCGTCAGGCGGATGTCTTTTTTCAAGGTGATTTACAGTTTTTAGTACAACTGCATGACGCAAGTGAAGCGATGTCAATTGAAAGGTTAGCTGTAAAAACGCCTAAGAAGCAAGCGCAGTGGTCTAACTGGGAGCAACATGGAACATGGGAAACAAAATTTCAGATAGCTTCACAGAGAATCAAAAACGGAACACAGGATACACAGGTGGCAAACAAGGTGCATGATTATAATATAGTACACGTTAAGACAGAGCCATATAGAATAACTACGGGCAAGCTGTCCTTTAATGGTTCCGAAGTATTCAGCAATGTAAAATTGGTAAAAGTGCCCTTGCTTGTTGTCAGAGCCTCTTATCATCATGTTTCAGTAATTAGTATTAAAAGTGATTAGTATTGCTGCCTCACAGTACAGCCTTCAATTTCAGACCTGGGGTGCTGTCTGTGTGGAGTTTGCATGTTCCCCATGTGAGCACGAGTTTCCCCCATGTGCTCCAGTTTCCTCCCACAATGCAAAATCATGTCTGTAGGAGAATTGGCTTCTGGGGAACTTGGCCCTGCTGTGAGTGTGTGCATGTCTGTGTTTGTGTCTGTATGTTTGCCCTGTGATGCACTGGTGTCCTGCCCAGGGTGTACCCTGCCTTCCACCCCTTGCCAGAAAAGGCGCCAGCTCCCTTGTGACCCTGAATTGGGAAAAGCAAGTTAGAAAATGGATGGATGGACTTACCCACCATGCAGGTTAATTTTTAATGAATCACAAAATAACAAAACAGACATCTTCCGTTTTCCAAGCACAGGGCATGGGAGGCATTACTGACATCAACATAGATCAGAGAACACAGATGACTGTACTGTGGTCTGTAACTTTACCATATTTCATATGAGAAGGACTCATCCTTCCATAAATATCTTAAATCGGAGTGCTTACCCGTTTGGTGTCCTGGCTAAACTTCCCCCTGGGCTTTACCAGTCATGGTCTCCTAATAATCCCCATTTACGAACTGGTTTGGTCACTCCGCTCTCCTCCCCACTGAGAGCTGGTGTGTGGGGAGCGTACTGGTGCACTATGGCTGCCGTCGCATCATCCAGGTGGGGGCTACACTGGTGACGGTGGAGGGGAGTCCTCTTTACCTGTAAAGCGCTTTGAGTGAAGTGTCTAGAAAGGCGCTATATCAGTGTAAGGAATTATTCTTATTTATTATTAAATCATTCAGTTCCATTCCTGAGGGTACAAGTGTGGCTCTCAGAACCTGTAGAATATGTGTGCAGCTTAGCTGCAGCTGCCCCAGTAACCAGGCTTTTTCATTTGTTTTTACATGTGCAGCTTAAGTCATGTTCTGTCCTTTCTCCTAGGGGCATGAAAAATTTGAGTGCAGACAGCATATGGAAAGCTAAAAAAAAAAAAACAGGATCTAAAAACAATCCAGGAAACTACCTTAGTAGCATATGTTGTTGGCAGGTAACAATGATTACTTTAAAACCTCTTGGCCCTTTTGAGAAGCTCAGATTATTTTCAGTTAAATTTGTGTTTTATTCAGAATGTGTTCCATGACCTGCGATGCAGAGCTCATAATGATTCATACTTTTAGAGATAGCCATTCCGTACTTGGCACCATTGACTACAACACAGCCTGTCACTGAGCCATCTTACTGTACATTCACATTGATCAGAAACTTCAAAAACATGATCCTAGTAATTCCAAGAATAAAATATGCAGCCAATATGAAGTGTTGGTAATCCATCACATTTTTAAGCAAATTAATTTAGGCTCTGTATTTCTCATCATTGCCATAATAAATTCCCCCATACACAACCATAAAGGTAGAAAGTAGATTTTTTACTACAAAATAGAGATATACTGTATCAGGACTGACTGTTCCAAATGTTTAATAGAATAGAATTGTTTCCACATAAAGACAAAATTATTGAGTGAAAAACGTAGAACAATGTAGAACGTCTAAGACACCATTATTAAATTTTAACATACTGTATATTTCCGCCCAGCACAGATCATACTGAAAGCATAAACCATACAAAACTTCCATCTCAAACACCAGAAGCGTGCGACTCGCTGTAAAAGCGAGACTTGGTGGAAACGAATACGCGCCTAGGTGTTATGTGCTGAGGTACTGCTGCTACATCTGAACTCTTGAACACCGACTTGTGGGGTATTGCACGCACAACTGAAACCGTGCTCACCAGCTGGAGTACAGTAAGCCGTGTTTGATGTGGTATTAGTCTGCCTCTTATTTCCAGTAAGCTAACGTTTACTCTGAATATCAGGACACGGCGCTACTAGAAGTTAAAAACCGCGAATTTTTCATATTATAGAATACCTAAATCGATTTTGGCTACATTAACACAATTTTCTTGAAATTGTGAAGTAAAGAAAAATAAGATATTTGTAAAAAAAAAATGGGAATGTTTTTTTTAATCTCAAACCGAGGGAAACAGTACCTTTATTTCCACATATTTAATTATGTATGTGGTTTATGTATTTGTTATTTGTACATTAATTGTATTAATATTGCTTATAATGAGTATATTTATATTTACATTTCACAGATCTATAGAAACATTACCATGCTTACAACGTAAATCACGTTACTTTTATTTTAAAAGTTAAAAGTTACTTTTATTTTTAAAAATTACTGAACGCTTTCAACGTTTTTTGCACAGGCAGGACGTTTAGAGACGTTCCCCAATCGTAATCCGATACGGGTTCGCGAGACAGTTCTCACTTCTCTGGTTTGCCGTTCAGCGTTTCAGTTCACAACCCGGTCAGCATTACGGTTTTACGAGAAGACTCGACTTGCAATAAGTAAATACGATTAATGCAACAGTTTTTGTTTTGCCTTATTTGTATCATAGTTTTTGAAAGTGGCTGGTGTCGCATAATCGGTGAAAAGAAGTGCGTCACTGGTCACACAGGAGGGGACTGCTCTTCAGTGCTGGATGAAGTGGCTCACCTGAGATCATCGAAAGCGCTTTGAGATCCTTTGGGAATGAATTATTGTCTTTGCATTGTGGACAAATTAACGGTGGTTTTGTAGATATGGCAGTTATTGCAGCACATTATTTAATTTTTTTGAAGTATTCGGGCGTCTTTCGTTTCGTTTTGTAGTATTATTTGGGCCTCAGAAACCATTGTACCCTTCGAATTAAAACGGAAAACAATGTTTCGTTTTTCTGCTTGCTTCTTTTCTGCTCTGGCGTTTTTGCTAGGTTCAGACTGATTCTCTCGATATTAAAAAGCAAAGGTAATGTTATTGTTGTTGTTGTTGTTGTTGTTTTTCAAAACAAAGCTTTTTTAGAATACCATGTTTAAATTATCATTTATTAAGCCGTCTTTGGGTTTGCAAGCAATTGCGCAATACCACTGATAAACCGACGGAAAATGAAGAACACAAAAGACGAGCTATTTCTTATTATTTTAAGGGAAGATTATTCGAAAACGGAACAGTTTTTTCTTAGAAAGTTGGAAATGGCACAAAAGTTTTCAGGTGGAACAGAACCTCAGCAGGATAATGTAAACAGCAGGGCTACAGAATACCATTGCTTTCTGTCAGGTGTACAGTATGAGGTCTGTTCGCTGGAGAATCCTCCCCGCATATGAGGCACCACTGTAACGAATGTTCCCGTTCTGTTGGCAATCCTGTTTTGTCTTTAATTGTACTGTGGTAAGATCACTTTTGCACGTCGCTAGGTGACAAGATCTGTCGCTGTTTGCTACAGGGCTCCAGATGTTGCTGTGGTTTCTTCGTGCAGTTTCACCCCAGATATGGTTTTTCAGAAGTTGCTGAAGTAGTTTTGGCAGTACTTCCGTCATGTAGACGTGCGTGCCAGTAACATCTGACCCGACACTGATGCGGTTTGATTGCGGTGGCGTGTGTTTGTAGCTCCACGCCGTCTGAACTCAGTATCATTGAAAGGAAACTCCCAAGAGGTCAGCTGGTAGATAGCATTTGTTTAAGAAGAACTGGAAGAACAGTGGTCCACTGTTATTTTGAAATATCACTGGGTTTTGGTGGGTTATGAACATGAGGGAGGACTAATGCTTTGGGATGGAATAGATAGCTTTTCATACAAATGGTAAGACTGACGTACTTAAGCCTGAAACAGTTTTTCCTTGGTGGGTGGTGTGCTCCGGTTTTCTAACACCTTTCAAAGACATGCTAACTAGGTTATTTGGGTTGTGTAAATTTTCCCTGTCCACGTGGGTGTCAGTGCCCTGTGATGAACTGGTTTAATCCTGCCTTGTTGCTTTGTGAGTCTGGGATAGGCTGCAGATTGGAATGACGTAGACTGCTTTCTGATGAGGGATGGATGATTTGTGCATGCTGTTTCAAGACAGTCATCCATAGAAGATGCTTTACAAGGTTCGGGGATCATTGCAGCTATAATGGGCCCAACAACAACCTAACATCCATCTGTCCATTTTCGAACCTCTTTTTCCAATTCAAGATTGCATGATACGCTGAGCGTAATTCGGCAAGCAACGAGCGCGAGGCAGGATGCACCCTGGACAAGGATGCCAGGCCATCACAGGGCACGCGCAGACACAAACACACACTCACACCAGGGTAGGATTTCCTACTGTAGAACTGTACCAGTTATCCTACCAGTATGTGTTTGGATAGTGGGATTAAACCAGAGCACCTGAAGGAAACCCATATGACCGTGAGGAGAACATAGAAATTCTCTGCAGATTATACCCCAGGTCTGGAATTGAACCCAGGGCCCCAGGTCTGCAAGGCAGCTGTACTCACCACGGCTCCACCATGACCCCCACCTCCCGATTTTTCTGAGCCCATCTGTGGTCCTGTGATCTCTCTAGAGCGGCAGTGCAGATGCAGGTGATCCAGCACTCAGCAGAGAGACTGCGCCTGGCTTTGGTCTCTAACCGGAAAGACCTGATCCAGCACTTCCAGAAGTATACCAGGGAGGAGAAGCGACTTCTGGAGGAAGGCCTTTACCCTGACAGCACCCTGTTCAAGCCCATCACCCTGCACTTGGACTCGGACTGGATCAGTTCGCACCCGGAGCCGCCTCAGGACTTCCAGCAGTACTACTGCAACCCTTACCGCAACACACCCGTCAAGGGGCGCAACACGATCTACATCCAGACTGTGGGTGAGATGCTGGTTTGATCACACAATTGATTTTTTTTTTATTGTTGAGTTTAAGTTCTGTACGTTCTTGAGCAGCAAGTAGCTATATTGCGATCTTGCCACTGCTGTCCTGCCCACGTGCTTCAAACACCCTGATCTGTACATGTATCTAATCTTGCTATAGTTGTAGTTTAGGAGGTGGAAGCCAAGCATCCAATGGTGTAATGCATTTTCTGATCAGGTTGGTTTATTCATCCATGGTAAATGTTGTAGTACTGTACATGGGTGTTGAATAGGTAGAGCTGACAGCTGTCACTATGTAATCCTACCACACCTGTTGGCCTTTAGATGTCTGCTAAACAGCTAAAACAAGATGAGTAATTGTTTTGAAGAAATTAATTTCAGTCTTTCAAGAAACAGCCAAACGCAACAGCATCTTTTCCAATGTAAATGCATGGTTAGTCCCCCACAGTTGCTTCTCTGCAATTCCTGCTATTTGCTGGGTCTAAAAAGGAGCAGCTTCACACAGGGTGTGTCTGGTCGTTGAAAAGTGAAAGTAAAGTGATCTGTTTCCTTACTACATGCGCATGAAAAAATAATTTGAGCTGGATTCATACCCCTCAGATTATCGTGATTAAAGCAGAAATTGAAAGTGGTTTAACCGTTCTGATTACAGCTTTTAAGAGCAGGTAGGGAGGGAGGATGGCAGTCAATGTCAAAAGCTGATAGCACTGCATAAGTGGCAGATGTTTTGTTCTTCTGAAGCGTCTGTGCCTGTGCAGGCTTGTTTGGTGAGGGTGAAGCTGCCACACTCCGGTATGTGGGCTGGCTGCGAGAATACTGCGAGGCCTTCTATTATGGGCTGTCCGTGAAGCTGCTGGAGCCTGTCCCTGTGTCCGCCACTGGCTGTGCCTTCAGAATCAATGAGTACACCCACAATCTGCAGATTAACACTGGTGAGTACCTTTCTCCTCACAGCCCTACCCGTGTTTCCACCTCCCGTCTCTTGTTTTCATCCATCACCCTTACATTTCCTTTTCTCTTTTTAACAGTAGCATCAAGTTTGGAGACCCCTGTGTTAACATACAGATGTACTACTCAAAATCTGGTGCACATGTTCACATGCTTATACAAGGCGTACATGATGATAGACAAGTTATAAGATAGACGTAGTCCAAAAATGGCAGCCTTTTCTTCCAGGTGATCTGCTGAGCTACTTGAAAAAGAAGAAACCAAAAGACGCCTTCTGCATTGTGGGGATCACCATGATTGACCTGTACCCCGAAGACTCCTGGAACTTTGTGTTTGGCCAAGCATCGCTCACTAAAGGTAACAAGGATCGCCTTTCACTCATTGTGCAGACTAGTAGGGGGGAGACAGAAATGGGATTATAGAGCAGTAACTTAAAAGGCTAATGGGAGTAAAAAAGACTCAAAGGGTTGTATCTGAGTTGGATTGATATTTCTTTAGAATGTTAATTACCCTTTACCTTACTTTTTAAATTTTCTCCTTTTTTGTTGATTAAATACATAAAAAAGTAGAAACAATAACAGGGTTTTTATGTCACTGCTTCCACCAAAAACCCCTGCACCCACACAGGGAGAATGAGGTATAGAAAGTGGAGTGATGTACAGAAAGCTGGAGCTCTAGGATGATAAACTTGCAAACATAAGAGATACCATTCTAGTCAGCAGTAACCACTATTCATAGTCGAACATGTCTGTTTAGAGCTGATCTGGGGGGCTGCGGTGGCTCTGTGGCTAAGGATCTGCGCCTGTGGCTGGAAGGTTGCTGGTTCATATCCCTTGGCTGGCACAGGAATTCTACTCCATTGGGCCCCTGAGTGAGGCCCTTAACCCCAGCTGCTCCAGGGGTGCCGTATAAATGGCTGACCCTGCGCTCTGACCCCAAGCTTCTTTCCCTGTCCATGTGTCTCATGGAGAGCAAGTGGGGGTATGCAAAAAGACAAATTTCTAATACAAGAACTTGTATATGGCCAATAAAGTCATCTGATCTTATCCGATCTAAGCTCGAGTGACAGAAAAGGATTGGTGGTGTTAGTCTCTTTGATGCTTAATTGACACTTTTTAGCGTCTTTATCTTTTTGATTTACCACATCCTTCCTATCATTTAAATTAGAAACTGAAGACTGGACTGAAATCCTTCCAGTGTTTGAGACGGTATAAAATATTCAGAGAAAGATTGTTTAGAAAGTTAAGATTACCTTCTTTCATGTATATAGTATAGGGAAACTGCTATTTTAACGGTAGTAATGCTGGATCTTCCCATTACTGCCAGTTCACACAACTTCTTGAGATAATGATTAAAACAGCAGAATGTGCAGAAAATGCATGAGAACTAATCCCGATTTCATTAATGCACTTCTCCGGTTACACCACTAGAGAGCAAAATAAGACAGTAATGTGCGGCTAAAGTGGATAATTAAATATTGACTCCAGCAAAGAGAGTTATAGATAGATACTCATCTTTTGAACTCTCTTATTTGTATGTGCTTTAAAGTGAGGTCTGTTAGCTAAAGCACCATGACTTCGGAAACGTTGGAGAAATTTTCTAATGAAGGATCTGAGTATATCTCTTATCACATAAGCATTACTTATCAATAATCGATAGGTAAATCAACATCAGTGGTCGTATCAATGTTGATGAGTGAAGCATATGTGATGTTAGATGTACAGTCCCGTCAATAGTCCCTTTAATAAATCCTAAATTACTTGCATTCCTCACACCTTTAAGACAAATGTTGAGAACTGTTAAGCTACTGAGGGCAAGATACTAGAGCTCTTTTACATTAGGTGTGGTACCGCACATGGACAGGAGATGGAGCTATTGTCAAACAACGAGACTACTTGTATACACAAGGGACTTTTTCAGTGTGCTGGCAAATTGTAATTCCACCTGAGCTCTCAGATACTTAACTGATCTCACTTTTGCTTAATTAGTCAATTTCAACACATATGGCCAGTTTTCTTAGCTGCTGCAAATCCAAATACACCTTTGAAACCTGCCAGAATGAGACCCTCCAGAGTAGACGTTGTTCATTCCTCATTTTAAACATAATGTATTCCTTCAGGAGAACTTATTACAGTGCATGTTTCTGATATGCATTCAGGAAACAGCTGTTGACAGGTCCAAAGAGCATGGTGTCATAAAGGCTTTGATTGGCTGGCAGTGACTACAAACTTAAAGTAAATTGTAGTAGGTTGTAAAAGATCTGTATAGAATTGAGATTTTTTTTTTAGGATATCACTTATTTTTTCTGAAAAGTTAAATCAGCAATACACTCATTCCTGGGGCAGCACAGTGGCACAGTGACTTGGGGCATTCAGTTCTGGACCTGGGGTGCTATCTGCTTAAAGCTTTTAAATTCTCCCAATATTCCCAGTACTCCGGGTGCTCCAGTCTCCTCCCACAGTAAAAATAATATACTTGTAGATTAATTGGCATCTGGGAAAATTGACCCTTTTGTAACTGTGTACTTGTTTGCGTCTCTGTGGCTAGCCTGTGATAGCCTAGCATCCAGTCCAGGGTGTATCCTGCTTTGGGCCTGTTGCTTGCTGGGATAGGCTGTGGCTCTCCTGTGACCCTGAATTGGAAGAAGCGGTTAGAAAATGGATAGATGGACGCTTGATCCTTTTCACAGATTTCCTATTCTGCACATCTGTCTTCAGCCACTGTGCAGTTCAGAGACCTGTACCATTGTGATTTCCACAAGAGCTTGTTGAGTTTGTGCCATTTCCTTCTCTGCAGGAATGGGCATCTTCAGTTTTGCCAGGTATGATGACAACTTCTACAGCAGGAGCTACAAAGGCCGCCTGCAGAAGGGCAGAAAGGTGTCTCCACAGGATTACTCTGTGTTTGATGGCTACTACACTCCACCAATCACGAGCACCCTGCTGCTGAGGTCATGCAAGGTCAGCCTGCCCCCAAACAGTACTCTTCATGTTTAAAAGACATGAAGAATAACACTACTCTTAGAAGACATTCCTAATAACACTACTAAAGGTCTACTAAAAGAGCTATTGTGAAAGCAAGTTAGACCAGACGTTGATAGCTCAGGTTCAAGAACTGCCAGTTGTGCCTTCGGGGGTTGGTTGGGCATGAGTTGACAGTGGTATTGGCTTGCTGCACAACATAGACATCTGGGAATTTGTTCTCGGCCACCAGTTCAGCCAGTTTTAACTGTCCTATGGATTCTTCGAGTGGATAAGTGATTAGTTATAGGATTCAAGTGAGAGTCTTAAAATAAAGTGTACCTGTTCTGCCACTCGTCAGTATGAGGTTCATTGACATTGAGCCAATTTAGTTACAAACGTGTGTTTTTTCTGGGAGCGGTAAAAAATATATCAATATGGGGAATAAATAGTTGTGTCTAGTCTTTGCATTTTCTCAATTATCTGTAAGCCAGTAAGAAACCTTAAAAAATGTTTGTTTTTTTTAATGACAAAATAAGATTTCATTCCTATTATTTAATTATGGCAGAAGGGGACCATCCTATCAGGGTTGAAGAAAGCATTGAGCTGCTTTGTTCCCAATGAAAAGAGCTAATCTGCCATTAGACAGTTCAGAACAATTTGTGGTGGGGAAGCTTTTCCTCTCCATTTTGGCCACAAAGTTGGCAATATACATGACCTGCCGGTTGTCTGGCTGGACCTGGCCAATGCATGTGGGTCCATTCCACACAGTTTGAATTTGGGTTGCAGTGGAGCACTACCATATCCCACTTCAAAGTAATTATTACCAGTTGTTTTGGGGGAATTAAGCTACAGTTTATGTCAGCACGATTTACATCAAGATAACAAGAGTTAGAGAAAAGGAATTGTAACAGGCTGCACAATCTCCCCTGTCTTCATCATGGGAACGAACCTTATATAACAGCAGCAAGATAACAACCCCATGGACCACAAATGCAATCAGGTACCCACCAACCAGTCCTTACTGGGTTCATGGATGATTTCACTGTAACAACTACATCCCATGTGCAAGTGAAGTGGGTTTTGAAAGCACTGGAGGACATGAAAACCTGGGTGAAAATTAAGTTGAAACTAAGGAAGTTAAGATGCATGGTAATCAGAAAAGTACTGTAGGGGTACTCTAGATACAGTTAAATGCTTGGGAAAGTGGTTCGTCAAGACAGACTGAGAAAGTATCAGAAACGCACAACAGCACCATGGCACCAAGACAAGTTCTTGATCACACTCGTAGAGAAAGAGAGACAGATGACACAGCAAACTCAGGGAGGTCTAAAAATAAAGTGGCAGCAATCTGGAAGGAGAGAAGCTAACAAGGTCAAGTAAAATCAAAGATTCTGTCTTGCATAAAGCTCCCTTGTGGGACATGAGGTTGGACCATGGAGGAAGGCTGCAGTTTTCTGAGGTTCTTTAAACAATCCTGAGGCCAGGGTGAAGGGGTCCCCTGAGGTGACAATGATCATCCTCATTGAGCTGATGGTGATGTGGGAGGAAGGATGTGAGGAAGCTTTTCGGTGGAAAAGTGTCGAATATGAAGGTCTTGTACAAGACTGTAGAAGGAAAGGGCGGCAGACATTGTTCTTCCTGCTTGGAGGTTAGTGCAGAGGAGTCCCCGCACAATTAGTGTGGAGAATGCTAAGTGCTGTTGGGCTGACTGGGAGGGACAGAAAGACAGCCTTTCGATATTTCGGAGAGGCAGAGGAGAGAGCCTCATTCTGGCTCTGGAACAGGAGAGAGGAGTTAAGCTGGAGGCTAGGAGGAGAATGGCTGAGACTGGCTATCACTGCTGACCCGCCAGCAGGAAGGAGTTATGGATAAGGGTCAAAATGCCTGATGAAAGCTGGCTTCCATCTGTCTACATCAGTTTCTGGCCAACAGCAATAGTCAGTGAGGTTTGATCCCAGAGAATTTAAAAGCCATTTCATTGGCAAGACACCCTGCTTTTGAGAAAGATGTAATCAATCAATTACCTTTAATAAAACCTTTAAATACGATGTACAATTTGAAAGTTTCGGTGTATTCCTATTTTTAGCACAAAATTATTTTGACTTATTGCTGTTCTGGTGTGCCTCTGTGTCCCTGATAGACTCTCACTCATGAGATTGGCCACATCTTCGGGATTCAGCACTGCCAGTGGATGCAGTGTGTGATGCAGGGCTCCAATCACCTGGAGGAATCAGATCGCCGGCCACTGGATCTCTGCCCTGTGTGTCTGCGCAAACTACAGACAGCCATGGGATTTAAGATTGCTGAGAGGTACAAGGTGGGTGACTATGATAGAGAAACATCAGAGCATCAGACAGTCCATCCAATGCAGTAAAATCAAATCTGGTGTGTAACTGATGGAGCTGATTCACCACCAAATCAAGTTTTATTGATTTCTTAACAATAATCCACAATTATTGGATAGATATTTATTGGAGCTGATGTGTGTCCAGTTTTATAGAACTGATAAGTCAAAGGAACGATAGGTCTTGTTTATGATTTGAATTTTATTTTTAAATCTTATGTGGAATCGTTTCATGCCGTCTTTGAAAAATGTTTTCCTTTAACATTCAAAATGAAGCCAATGTCTCCTAAGTCTTTCAGCTCTCTTATGTGACCACATGAAGCAAATAACGTTAGCAATGAAGTGACTTTGTGGAAACAGTTTAGTTTCTTGTATGTGATGGCAGCTTCAGTTCTATGCTGTTGTGAGAGAGATGAGGAAGCTGTCTGTTCTCAGTCACACCCTTCCCTGTTCTCATGGCCAGTTTGAAGGTGTGGTAGTTGGTAGTCACAGGGAACTGGAAGCTATGTTTGTGCTGTGGTATTTCTTTGCAGGCCCTGCTGCGATGGATTGAAGAGGGCTCCAACACAGGGGAGGCAGGGACCTCTTCGGCAAAACCCACAGAGGCTTTTGAAGCATCCCGGCAGTGGCTGATGAAGTGCTTGTCAGTGTTGGAGGACGAAATCTTTTAGCACTGTTTCTGTGTTTGAAATGTGCAGCACGTTTCCCAGTTCTGAGTCAGTCGGTATCCAGCTACAAGGTGCAGCGCTAGCTTGGCCACTGATGTATGAGACTTAGTAACATCCTCTTTTTTTCTCCTTGATCTCCCATTGGTCTGTGTGCTATGCCAAGGAGTAAGCAATCCTTATTTTCCACAAATGGAGAAGAACCAAAGATGAAACATCTGGGAAACAGCTTGAATTGCAAATTGAGACCTGCGTGCTTCAGTAAAAATTAATTGGACATCTCAGTCAGAAAACTGTCTATATCCGAATGTTTATATGATATGACACATTCAGACCTTACTACAGGAGGTCTGTAGTAAGATCAGGAGGTCTACCCATGAGTAATGAAGGAAGAATGCTGCTTTGTTTTTTTAGCCAGTTAAGAAAAAAAAACACTACTTTTGAATTGTAGATGTTTCACAGGCCACTTCACATATTTTCCAGTGGTTTTATGTGCTGGTCTGTTTTCTTTAAGGGTTTAGATCTCTGAGATTTGTTATGCCTATATCCTGCCGGAAAATGTGATTCACTTTAGACTGGAGGTAAAGTGATGTTCAGGGTGATTCAGAAATGACCTTGATTGCTTCATTTTATTCTAGTTGCTTATTACCTCATAAAGCTCGATACACATTCTGACAAATCTGGATGATTGTCCCCACCGACATGTAGAAACTCGGCAAACTTTCCAGCACCACAGATGTAGAAACTGCTCCCATGTATGGAAATTTAACTTCCTTCTTGTAAAGAATACATGGCTGCCAAAAATCACAGTAGCTAACTTCAACATAGAGTATTTGCAACTCCATAAGTGCCACTGATCTATGAAGTAAGGACTCTGTGGTTGTTCCCAACATAGGCAAGCAAGATAATAAATGTTTATTTATACAATTCCTGCCAAAGAGATGGAATTCTGAGTGGAAGAAACATAATGTGAGAAATTGTATATATTGCTTTTTGGGAACAGTGAACTCCTGATTTGTGTTTTATTTTAGCAAACTAAGCGCATCTGTAATTTATTAACTGGGTCTATGATTGTTTTCCTAACCTCAGGATCTCATTGATGTTTATCTGTGGATGTTTGTCTGGAGGAAACATCCACTGTGGAAATGGAAATAAGTGTGTAGTGTGAAGTCACACGTGAGTTTTTCTCGCTTTTATTAAGTAGGTAATTTCTAGTCAAAACTCATATTTGCTATTACATATGTATGTTATGTACCCTAGTTTTTGATTGTCTTATGTTGATTATGTTAAGTAAAAGAACACATCTCTTTGGATCTGTTTTTTCATTTTTATTGGAAAAGAAAAAGTTCAGTAGTCAACAGTGCAGCATTATGCCAGGTCTAACACATTTTACACTTTTTACAAATAAAAATGCCCATGACATAATGTGCCTGTGTTTCTGAATTGAAATCTAGCAAAAAAGATAAAATCTACACTTGCCACCTTTTATGCACAGGTACAAATAACCCATGAGGAAAGTTCAGCTAGTAAAGAGTTTGCCCCTGTGCCCGTAGACGATATAGACTTAAACACACATGGTTTATTTGGTTTGAACTGTAGATAAAATACTGCACCCAAAAAGAGTTAAAAAAATGTCTGGGAGTTGATACTCTAATCTCTCCTTATTTCTACAAAACCTGCTTGTGCGTTTCATTTTTGCATCCCTCTCTCCAACCCGTTTTTGCTTGTGCAGCAGTTGCCTGCTCATTCTTAGTTATAGGAGGCCGCCGACAACCCCTTCCTTACAGATGGGAAGTCACCTTAGTGTTTGGACTACTGAACCTAATGCTCTTACGTCTTGCTGTTCTTATTAAAAATGACTTGCAACACACAACTTTTCTTGTTGGCATGCCTTGTGGAGTATGGGATATGTGTATACAACATCTTCTACTACATAATGGCAGCTGCAGTACTTTAATACTACAGTTCAAATCTGTGGATCATAGTGAATGCTAATAAATACACATTTGTTCTTCTTTAGGGTGACGGCAGTAGAATCAAGTTGAGCACAATTAAAAAATATAAATTAAAAATGTACAATTTTTGTATGAACTAATAATACTGTTAAATATATTGCCTCATAGTTTTTGTCCAGTGTAGTGTAGCTTATTTCCTATGCAGAAGGAAAGTTACAGTCAACAAGACAGAAAAAACATTTGGCTGTAAAATATATTTAAAAAGATTAAAAAATGAATACTGAAGAGTTCTTATTGGTCCACTTCAGTGCTATAATAAATATAACAGAAATTAAATTCAAGTGCTGCATATTCAGAGCTCGGTGGTTAACATTAAAACCAAAAAAGAAGACATTTTGTTTTTTTCACAAATTACCTGCTTTTTCCTGTTCACAATACCTCTGAACTTTGTGGATACATCATGAATTTACTTTCTTTTTTAAACTATAATCTGACATAGTTTTTTTGTATTCATGTAGCCTACTTCATTCTTAGGCAGCTACAGTCAATAACAATTATCTTCCATTTTAACCTTAAAGTGAATGGGTTCATCTTTAATATGACCACATGTTCACTTTGCTTGTGTTGTTCTGGATAATGTTCCTTTACTCAGGTTATAAATACAGATGTCTGCACGAATGATACCCAGAGAAAATAGAGCTGGTTTTTCAGATGGGCCATGTTTGTTGGTTCAACCTATTACCCTGTAAACGATTACAAAAAATTACAAAAATGCAGCAATGAAGTCAGTCAGCTTCACTGTCTAGAAGACTTCCACTTCTGTGACCATTTTAGTAGAAGCCTCCTTCTAGTACAGTAACGTGGATAGTCAGGCTACATGACAACTGCTTACCTACCGAATAATGAGTTCAGTATAATGCTTCAGTTCTGAAAAATATTGTGAAACCTCTTAAGAAAAAGAATAAAATCATTCACCATCTATATAGCCTCCACTGGACACCTGTTGTTGAAGTTAAACCATTACTGCATTGGTCAGCTTCAACACTAAACTGAGATATTCAGGTAATACTACACTGAATTTCAACACATATGTTTTGATTTCTCACAAAATAACCTTATTTCGAAAGTTACGGTGTGTCTGAAAATGAGGCATATTAAAAGCAACACATCTGAACAAACACAAGTATTCAATACAGATCAAATTCAAACACCAGATACAGCCTTTCCAGGACACACTCCGCACCCAGTCTTTTTCTGTACTGTTACAGCGCTAAACGGGGGTTGGTCCAAACAACTTAAAAAATAAATAAAAACCACAACACTGCTGCCTTTACTCACACATTTCTCACTGGTTCTTTTAGAACAGAAGAGGGATTTGAGCCTTTTTATAAGCTTGCTTGGTTCCTAATGTATCTCACTCTGGCCGTAGTGCCATTAAGATCACATTCGTCATGAAACCAGTTTTGGTATCTGTCAGACTGCACCAAGTGAAACTCTCGAGAGCTGTCAGTGGAATAGAGAATCAATGGCCTTTATCCTCTTCATCATGGATGTAAATTAATTATAACTACCACAGTGTGCAGCCTGTTTGTTTCTTCATTTACTTTAAATCTGCCTGTCTGTAAAATCTACAGCTTCAAATGGCATTTATTGGATTTTTTGCCAGGTCTCTATGAGATATTTGCAAGGTCTTCCAGAGAGTGTTGCTCTCCTCTGTGAAATTATTTTCAGTAATGTAAAATTTTCATTTAACTTCAAGCAGTCAAAGAATCTCTAACTGCTTGTTGTTTGGCCTGCAGCCCTACAGCAACCACAGGGAAAATGTAGGCAATAAACAGGTCACCATGGACCGTGAGCTGCAGGCATGCAGCAGACAGTGATTCTTCAGGGTCCCCTTTGGTCAGTGTGTGCAAAATAATTGAGGCAGTAGCCTCTCTCATACTTTACAATGCCTTTGGTCATGTGCAAAACAGTTTGCCTCAGCAGCCTTAATTCCCTGAAAAATTCAAAAACATGTAGATTCAGCATTTTATACTTTAAGATCAGTGACCAAATGGGGCATCCTTCTACTGTTTTATCTCTTACTTATCCATAAATGCCATTTGAAGCTGTTAGTTCTGAAGTGGTACTGTAGCTTGAATAAAACAGCATTTTGCTGCACAGGTGGCATGCAAGTTCTGATTTCAAGTTCTTCCTAAGAATTGTGCACGATTTTGCATGAAAGGTTTCTTTAGATGGTGTTTTCTTTTCTCAAGGCTTCTGGAGTCTTTCTGTGTCCAAGGGAGTCGCTCCTGCAGGTCTTGAGCATCCTCAGACCACACTGTCCTCCGGCTGAATTTTGCGAGGGCTTTCCTCTGAGGCGAGGTCCACTTCCAGGAAGTCCTCGGGCACGTCCGTGGAGACTTGACTGTCCTGAGAAACGCCATCACGGCTGGGAGCCCTTAGGCTCTCCTTCCGTCGTCGCTCTCTCCTCGCCTGGCACATACCAGTCTTTGCTGGACGCACAAAGCCCAGAAACACAGCCCCCAGGCCCATACCCACTGCACATGAGTAAAATGCAGACCCATAATTCTGAGTTTTGTCCACCAAGAAACCTACATGAAAAGGTAAGTAAAAAAAAACTGTCAGTTCTGTTGCAATCAATAATAGCTTTAGTTAAGCTGCAGTCAAACTTAAGATTTCGCTATTGCTATGATTTGACTGTGTTTTTCTGTAAAGTAGAATTATCATTAAATGTGCATACACCATACTTGGAGGTGAGATCAATTTAAATGTTATGTTAAGATTCCAGGATACAGGAAAATTGCAATCATAAGAATCTTATCTTCCTCTTGACTGTTATGCATTTTAATGGAAATGTATATTATCTTTCCTGTGAATTCAATCTTCTGATTATTTTTACATTTTTCCTCAATGCTGGGGGTATTCTGAGGAACACGTTCTCGAGAAACAAGAAAAGCAAGCTGATATCTGGGCTCTTACCTCCCAGGGGTGGGCCTGCCAGCCCTGCGAAGCTCTGGATGAAGACATAGACCCCTACAGCTGAGGGCATACGGTCAATGCCCACCACATCGTCCTCTGCCAGCATGGGGATGTGGGTGGATGCCACAGTACCCAGTAGAAAGCCATAGAGCATACAGCAGATCATCAGTCCCCAGAAGTCAGTTACGAAGGTGAAGATCAGCAGCACAAGGGCCAGCAGCACCACGCAGATCAGCAGGATGTAAATCTTGCGGATGGGCCTCTTGTTGAGGACCCAGCCTATGGAGATCCGGCCGAAGATCTCCGCCACGGCCATGGCACACAGCATGTAGGCAGCCTGCTCCCTCTCGATGCCCCTGCTCACACTCAGCTCGATGACGTACAGCTGGGGGGCGAAGAAGCCCAGCGTGGCGAAGAGCCCAAACAGAGCGTAGAAGATGAAGCTGCAGTCCTTCAGCACGGCGAAGTCCAGCAGCTTGGCTTGAGGGGGCTTCGGCTGCTCGGTCTCCTCCTGCTTCACTAGCACTGGGGTCTCAGGAAGCATCCCCTTCGCTTCCTCGTCCAGCTCCACCTTCTTCCCCTGCACCTCCAGGCCCCCTGATTTCTGGCTCCCGGCCAGATCAGTCCGTGAGGTAGATAAGGACTGGACACCAGAGTCCACAGAGCCGATGGAGGACCGGGTGTTCTCATTTTCCAGCATGTACTCCATCTCCATCTGCTTTACTGTGGGGTCCTTGGACTCCTCTTCCTCCACAGGCTTAGGCTTAATGGTAATTGGTCGCAGCAGCAGCCCACAGAGGATGATGCTGGACTGTAAGGCTCCAATCACTACCAGACAGTAACGCCAGCCTATCTGGTCTTTCAAGGCGGTAAAGGCTGAAAACCCACAGGGAACTGAGTTAAACAAAATCCAAAGCACATCCTAAAAACATACTGCTCTCTATTCTCTAACTTTTTATATAATATTCGAGTATTATTAAACCACAGGTGACTCTGAGGATACATACTTAAAGAGAGGTCTAGGCATTTGAAAGATGTTGTGTCATGTGAAAATTGAACACTGCTTCCTAGGATGAATCAACATATAGTAAACTTTGGAAAACTATGAATATTTTAATAAATAATACTTAATTAAATGTATGAGTTTAATAACTGGATCAAACAAAGGGTGGCAACGGTAATGACTGTAAGTGTTTTGCTAACATTCTGTTTGTATGGTATGCATGAAGACAAAATTGTTGTATCCGACGACAACGGGACAAAAGCAAATATATATATGTAGACTCCTTTAACTGTTACAGGAAAAGGTTTGAGAACCACAATGAAAAGCTCTAGAATGTGCTTATACCTTTTAACATAGCTATTATATATACAGTAGATGGGTCTACTGAGACAATTCTTGGAGCACACATCTCAAAATGTGACAGTGCTTGTACTCCTTATTGCCATTTAAGATAACAGAGATATTTAAACCACTGGTGCAAATGTATCAAATTGCATATATATATATGAAAATACTTCAGTTAGAAAGTCTCTCAGAAACTATCCTTATAAAACACCATTTCGATGATCAGATCATTTTATATAATAGATAAAAGAAAGAATAAAACCTTAATTTAACAAATGGTTATTTGAGAACATATTGTAAATGCTCATTTACAGTTCTGACATAGAGAGCACCCATGTATACGGCCGGGTACACAGAGGTATAAAGCTAGAAACAAGTCATGCAGAAAAACGTAGAGAAAAGAAAGTCAGGAGCCTATCCCAGGAAGAAACGGAAGCAAGGCAGGATACACTCTGGATGGGATGCCAGTCCATCCTAGAACACACACAGACACAATCACACACACTCTCACACCTGGGCCAGTTTCCAGGAAGACAACCTACCAGCATGATCTGGGACCACGGGAGGAAACTGGAGCACCCAGAGGAAACCCACACGAACTGCTAACCACTGCGCTCCTGTGCCTACCCCCATATGACCTCAATTTTCAGAACTGTTTTTTTATAAATTCATGAAGATGACTAACAGGCATCACATGTACACCCTTATTTACATGTAGGAGTAGCGCAGTACTTATTTGTAGGACTTCCCCCTGTGCTGAGTCTCTAGCAGTGCCGGAGAGCTGGTCTCACCTGGAGCGAACGCAAACACGGAGAATGACTCTCCGGTGGACGCGACTGCTGTAACGAGGGAGCGGCGCTTTGTGAAGTACTGGGAGAGAATGGTGACGGTGGGCAGGAAGGTGAGGCAGTATCCCAGGCCTGTAAACAGACATGAGAGAGCAAGGTGACAGCCACTGCGCCGGCAGGCAGGCAGGCAGCGCATCTACTTTATCGCTAACATGTCTCTACACAGGAACACAGGATCACACTGGGGCTGTAACCTTGGGCTGTGGGGCTGCTTCCCAGTACAGGCGAACAAACCCTGAAAGAGAATTATATTAAAAGGAGACAAAAAAAGAAAAAAAAACAAGAAAAGTCTGTTGTTAGGAATTAGCCATTGGAGGAAACAAAAAATCAGATTCCTGGAAAATCTAGCAGTGCAATGCATTGTAACTGCAAACTCCAAAGAGGCTATTAAAAAAGAACAAAATGAACAGTACAGGATTGAGGAGACAGGTCTTATTCTTTTAAATTAGGCTTCGTTTTAGCATATTTTTTAACAGTTAAAACTTGCGGCTTTAAAACCAATGTCTTGGTATGTATCCACCCAGACCTCTGGGTACTGGCCGCAAGGAGTTAATTCATGTGCATGCAGGTTACGTTTTTTGATTGATAGTAAGTGATATCCACAAATCAATACATTCAGAAAAGACAGCTGCCAAACAAAATCAGCCCACAGCACTGCTAGGATTCCCATGAAAGACATTCATATAAGGCAACTTTTCTTCAAATTAGAAAGCGACTTTAGTAGGTGTTAGATGTTCTCATCTATATCTGGGTCTGTCCACCAATATTCTAAGCTGGTGCTATGCACATGTAGACCCAGACCACTGAGAATCCCCAGGATGCTTTGTCAGCTCCTCCTTTTCTAATACATGAATCCTCAATCTCCTCCAGATCAAGCTAATGGCAGGTAAAAAAATCTATACCCTGTAAAATTACTCTTAATCTTTTGAGCTTTAAATGACTTTCAGATATTGATCATCCCATTTGATCTCCCTGGCAGGCAATTAAAAGACATCTGCTTACTCTAACACATTCTCTGTCACACTTGGACTTCCCAGAAGTACTGGGCAGATCAAGAATTGACAATGTGCCTCTTCAGTGTGGTCTGAACCATCTACAACTTTCTTCACTCATGTCTAATCAATGGCTTTTTTAGAAATAAATTTTAAGGCGCTCATTCCCAAGTATTAAGGGGGAAAAGATAGTCCTTTCCCATTCCTGTTGTTTGTCGCCTTTGAAAAAAACAAAAGTTGTATGTTATTTAAGCAGGACTCTGAAAAAGAATTATTTACAGCCATGTCAATGCATACTATTTTTAGTGCACAAAATGCATCATTATTTATATTAAAAGGGATTCAAATGAATAGTGATCTACAAAAAAGAGTAATTTGCACCAAATTTAATGACAAGAAAACATTTTCAAACTTCCCAATAATAATAATAAGCAATGCTGATAATGGAATTCAAGACGTTTAAGGTTGTCTGTTTTTTTTTCAAAACGTTGTTGGTTGCTTTTTAATCATTTGTTTAATCATGCAGAAATGGTGCACATTACACTTGGAGCACATTTGCTGGTAAATCTGTTCCATCATAGATGTGCCGTTTCATTCATATGCTCTTCCCCTACCCAGGGGTTATTTAAGCAAAAATATTCATCAAGAGCCTTTAGAGCCACTGCATCTCCCTTACATGGCTGCCATGGAACCTGTAAATGTGTTTGAGACTGAAGACTTGATCATTAGTTAGTCCTGCAAAACATGGGAATCAGTTTAAGTTTATCACTCAGAGATCTGCTGTAATGCTACAACAGATTATGTCAAAGTTAGCCTTTTGTGACCAATTGGTCTGTTTGTGAGTTAAAGCCATTGCAATGTACAGACCACAGAGGCTGATCGAGTGAGTAACAGAGATTGAAAACATACTGCCTGGAGTATTTGCCTATCATCCAGAACCTCTCTCTATGTTCTAATATATCCACCCAGCCCACAATTTATTGATGAAGTTGATGATTTCATTTGAGATTGCTGCCTGTCTAACATAATATGGTCCCACTACAGTAGGGTTGGGCATCCCAGTCTATTTACCTGAAATGATTCCTACTGCGATGTACATCTCCACAATGGAGTTGGTGAAAGCAGCTGCAATCGTGCCCAGGCTGATGAGAAATCCTCCCAGCATGACAACTGGCCGATATCCAAAACGATTGCTCATTACAGAGGAGAGGGGAGCTGTAGGCACAAGACACTTCAATTTAGACTCTTTCATAGACTTATTAGACTTCTGTTAGACCCATTCTAACACAGTAGGAACTCACTGCCATAAGAAAGCTAGAAGTAGACACATAAACAGCCTTCATGGTCATCTTCCCAAAACGATCAGTATTAAAATACAATAGCCTTTGCACAGTTCTTTTAAAACTGCTTGTATGTAAGTATGAGGGTTTATACTATACTTCCTACTTGCATTACAGTTTTACTCACCAGGATACAATTAAAGTAAAAGCATCATCTATGACATTTCGAAGAACTTAAGATTATCAGATATCCTTCCTTAAGTACTATTATGAAAAGAACTGAAATACTGAGACATGATAGAACATGATGTTTTTTGTTAAAGCTGTGATTACTCAAACAATCTTGACAAAGAAAAATGCTGAAGGAAGAGCCTTGCAGCTCAAACTGGGCCCTCTAGCTTATTAGCAGTCCTGACAGTTTCGTCTAGTCTTTCTTTGTATATTGGCGCCGACAGGACTCCTAGTTCGATTCTAATTCCTGCAACACTTCACAGGAAGTGACCTGTATTCAAGAAGTCAAGACTTCAGACTTGGACTGCTGTGAAGATCTGCAGTGAAACAAATGATGGCTCAAATAAATAACCAAACAACAGGTTAGACCAATCCTGTAAGTTTTAAGTCTCTTGGCAGTGTTTTTTTAAACACTTCCCACACAACCCATCATGTCTGAACATTTAAAATTTGTTTCCAAGCTACAGGTATAATTTTGTCCTGGAACTCGGGAGTCATTCAAGGGAAATTCTCTAAAAAAACACAGCTGTATCTCTGCTGGCTGCTTGCTGGCAGTAGATACAGCCTGCTAGCACGTGCTGACCAAGAAATGACATCAGCCGTGTCCTTTAAGGCAGAACATGGGAATGGCTCCAAATTTCACAAGAAAACTAGTTTAAACTGGTGTCTGATGTAGAACACCGGGCTCCAGGAAGAGGAAGTGGGACGTCCTCTTCTAATCCCTTGGTTGCTATGGCTGCCACCATAAGAAAGTTCATCTTTGGCAACAGGAAGTAATGACAGCTGTGAACAAGCTCCATAGTCAAATGCTGACCTGTTGGTCCCAAGAAATAATGGTCTAGAAAGGAATCTGCTAAATGTAAAGAAATTATAAGCTTTCCAAGCTTAATGAAGTAAGTGCAACCCTCAGATTTACTCACACTGAGAATGTGAAAAACTCTATTTTATAGAGTTTGTTATTTTTATTATTTTTTTAATTGGTTATTTGTTTCAAAAAGCTGTATGACCAAAATCCACTGGTAAGGCTTGATGGATTGTAAAACATTTGGAACTTTCTTATATATATTAAATAAGTTTAGCTGTTTGTACATTTTAAAGTATACGTACACATATCTCCAAAGCGTACTGGATTTTTCCTGGAAAGTGGTCTGAGTGTAATTTAGCCAAAGAACCATGTTTTGCTTTGAGCTATTTATTTCTGCAGGGTGACTGATTGTGCACAGTGGCTGTGTAAAAACATTGTAGCTGTTGCCTGGCAGCATGAATATGCTCTATGGAGATCAATTATTTCTAAGAGACACTCCTGTTTTCACATTGACTGTGAAAAACCCTAGATGTCGCTGTTCTGTAACACGTTGTGAAAACTGCACTGTGAAAATTACAAACAATTGGCTTTGGCATCTTAAAACGTGTCTCTTCTTCGCAGGACTGATGGTCTTACTTATAGTCTAACACCCAATGTCCAAAACCTTCTAAAGTATTTTAAGGGAAATCTAAAAATGTGTTGAATGTTTGGATGCGGATGGAAGGAAACAAAGCCAAGAACAGACAAACTTCTGGAAAGGCAAACTGTTCTTCTTGTTTAAATTAAAGCAAAAGGAAGCTCATACCAGGGAAGAGATGACATGCATGCCTGATAACTCTTCTAGCTGTTCCACCTACACTGGGTGTATGGTGTCATCGATGATGGAGGCTTTTCAATTCTCTACTGTCCTGACGCTAACTCTGGGAAACTTTGGCTTATGTAGTCAGCGTTTCCCACATGATTCAGCTGGCATTACTGTTAGACTGAAGAGAAAAGGATTCACCACAGTCAGCTGGTCTGAGTGCTTATGTCTTTTTAAACGTGAATGACCCTGAAAAGCACTTTGTGTGCCTTGGGTGAGATCAGCAAGGCTCTTGTCTGACTTAGATCAGCTTACTAGGGACAGTGAGGGTGTACTTGTGGTCATGCAAAGAATCAGGTTCCCTTGTAGGACAAACCCCTGTGTATTCTTATAAGCTTGAATCATGTAAATAAACTGCACAACGTTCAATACATTTTAGTTCTTGTTTCTGTTCAGGTTTCACACTAAGCTTTACCGAGATCATTGGGTCGAACTGCACTATTTAAGACAATTAAACATCACATGTATGTTCAAGGACTGCACTGAATCACTGAAAGATTACAGGATAACAGGATAGAATGATTCACCAATCCACTCAGCTCAAGTAATAAGATGTATTCCTGCTCCACCCACGATCCCCTAGTGCCAATACATTTTAAATGTAATTAATGCATGCAAAGACTGCTGGTCCTTAAGGTGGGGAGACTCACTGACCTATAAAGAGCACAAAAGCAATTTTGTGTTCATCTAAAACAAATAATGAACTCATCTTCCTCTGGAAATAGCAGACATGCTGTGGTCCAGTTGATGAACTTCAGGTACTGAAGCCAACATGCTCTGATGATCACGAAGATTTCCTTGCACCCGGAGCTTATTTTGGAAAAGAGTCTTTAGTTACTTGGTGACTCACCTGTGAAGGTCATGACGAAGACGCAGATGGAGATGACCCAGGACACCCGGCTGTTTGACTCGTTGAAGTGGCTCATGATGTCTTGAAGGAAGATCCCGAAGCTCTTGATCACACCGTAGGTGAAGACCTCCACGATGAAGAAGGCCACCGCCACCACCCAGCCCCAGCCTCCATCAGGGACCTCAGAGTACACTTGGGTCCCCATGCCCACCTTCACTTTGTTTATCCACCCCGTCATGCTTGGCTCTTCAACTGCTGGGGGAAGAAGACACAAAGAACAGGGTAAACTGAAGGTGCTTCAAAAAGGATCAAAACAGATTTCCATACGGAAAAAAAACCCCACATCATTTCTAATCTCTCAGAATTCCTACTTCTTCAACATTTTTTAACACTACAGTGGTCGGCTGTGCTCTGTCCTATCCCACATTCCTAACATCTTTTGTCTTTTCTGTAACAAGTATAGTAAAGAATGATAGAAATCACACCTGAAGAAGGCTCCACGGCCGAAACGTTGTGTTCTCTTTCTTCTTTTTTTCAGCATGGAATAAATCTATTACTTGTTCCTAGTAAAGAATGATCTATCTACTTGTCTTGTTACTAGATAAACCAAGGGTATACAGGTATATCCAACTATTATAGAACCATGGCTACGATTTCATATCCAGCTTTGTCACTGCCCTGCATTTCTATACTGAAGGCAATTCAAGTGTTTCTTTGCTTTTTCCAATGGCATCAATCATATAAGTATATGTTCCAAACGCAAAGCTATGTAAAAATCAAAAAGTGCCCAGCTTGTGAGGGCCTGCTGCAGCACAGTGATCTATCTGTTTTCCTGGAGCTACTGCAGTCCAGACCTGCCAGTTTGAGTAAAAGCCATTAGTGCTGAGCACAAAGGGTAAGGTGAGGTTATGCAGTGAAAGAGCTATTATCTAACAATGCAGTGTTCTGGAGCCTTTTACCCAGCAAGTCACCACAAGCATGTGTCACAAAATGGCTTGCTCACATAAAAGTGTCCATTTGCAGTATGGCTTCTATAGAGCAGTAAGTTGCCCCTGGAGCAGTTTCATAAAACCTTCTCCAAGTAGTAAGCTCCACAATTGTATTACAGAACACAGGCAGATGATGTAACCTACAATTTGTCACAAGCAGCAGAAAGATTGACTTCCTAGAAAACATGAATTCCTGTACTTGCATACCAGTTCTGTAGTACAGCAGGTTTTCTCCAGAGCTAAACTCTGTCAAGCCAAAGACTTCAATTATATCAAAGTACCTGTATCAGGATATCAGGGAAAACAAATGTTCCATTTTTTGGGAATGTGAGTAATGTGATCAACTGAAATGTCTCATAAAAATTGAAGCTGTTATGAAAATTTCTGAGTTCTGTTTCTTGTGGTTCAAGGAATGGCTCTGACCAACAGATAATGCTAAGAAACCCCACGCACTATTTTTTTATTTTGATCTGTGAATATGTGTCATGTAACTAATGAAAATTGCAGAAATTGAAGGAGACCCTGGATTGCAAGTTAGCATTTTGGTGCATTTAAAGTATTTTCAGACCTGTTAGGACTATTTAGAGAGATACACTGACAAAAAAAAGAAGAAAACCTCACAGAACAATGGAGTATACTGGCCATTTTTTGAAAATATGTATAAGTAGTATAAAGCTTCATTCATAATTTATCTATTATTTTTCAAAGTCTTAAATGGCACATTCCAATCTCCATTCAGATCATTATTATTTGAAAAACCAAGTCACTTATTACAGTCTACTCTATTTAACAATGCATCAGAGCACCAGTTTTCTAATTAGCAGAAAACTATATGAGAACATTATACATGAGCTAAATTCATATTTAGCCAGGGGACAAGAATGGAAGAAATTCTGCTGTCATATATTTGTATTAATGGGCTGTGACAGTGTTATGTTAATGTGAAAAAAGACTTTATTCAGAACATAGCATCTTGCAAAAAAAGGCAGGGAGCATGCCAGAGGCTATTCAAAGAAGGGGCTAAGAATACCTCCACAATCGTCCCATTTAAACTGCTTTATTTGATGTAACCAAGCTCCCTTTCCCCAAATTACGGCACAACCTGCGTTATAGACAGGAGTATTCAAGTTTCTCCAATTCTCAAGCAGCCTGCGCCTAGGGCTGTACTGTAATATGTAAATCAGGGCTCTTCTCCAATCCTGACAACAGTTTTTCATATCACTAATTCCCTTATTTCCTCCTTTGTCACAATGGCTGAAGTAAAATAGTCTTTCTCAGCTCTTAAAAGAGACAAAGGGTATACCTTACAGTAATGGAAGTGAAGGGAACAGACTATTAGTTGCTTTTAGAGTCTATTCATAAGCAGAGAATGCACTCCAGTTTTGCCACAGGGTGCGAGGGGGGGTGGGGGGCACCACTTTATACCCTCCTACAGGTGAATTTTCCCATACTGTGAGACACGTAAGCAAAGGACACACAAGAACAGCTCACTGCCTTCTCAAGCCACATCTTTCCACTCACTCCCAAGGGCTCCAGCATCCCACAGTTCTGTCTTTCTGACACCCTCTAGAGAGCTGGTTCCGCACAAGCCCGAATACCAAAGAGAAATGGGGATAGACCATTCCACCCAACAACCTCGTGTGGTTTTAAAAAAAAAAGCTGACACAGGAGAAACACAGGTAGACATCTGCCTCTATGGGAATGGCGTTCACAATTCACTCTGGACCCGACTCATAGTTTAAGAACAGGCACTACAAGGAATCGTTAGTTACGGATCCCCTGTACAGGTAAAGTGGCGCTTGGCTTGCTGGTCACATGAAGCGAAAGTGGCGCCCCCAGGTGGCCAGTACTTAATGCGACAGACACGTGTCGAGCAAAGCTGAACAATGGAATGTATTGAGTTCATACAGCAGATACTTTCCAATTAAATTGAACGTTTTATAATTGCACGAATTCATTACAGTAAATAAAAATCATCAGTCACAAGCATTAATCGATTACCCTCCCTGCTTGCTGAAAAGACCGGCCACATAATTTTTAAGTGTAAAAACTTATTTGCAACTCATTTCCTACACATTGTTAATGACCAGATATTCAATTATGGAGCCAACAAATTTACGTTACACAATACCAAATTTCAGATTGAATCAAATGAACAGGATAATAATATTTCGTTAATATACGAAGGTGTTTCTTCGTAAAGATTGTTGTAATGTGTACATCAAAATAAGTTAATAAAAGGCCACGTTAGGCAACACGAACGAATCACTGTCCTTTTTCATCACCATACTGGTGATGAAAATCCCTGAAAATATGCTGGCGAAAAATAAAAGTGATAGCATCTTACTAATACAGTAGATTCAATAAAAAAAACAAGTATCCTGAAACTGAAATGTGTTACATGTGATGCAATAGCAATCCTTAAAACACACCCCACGCGGTCACTTTTATATTCAGCGGGACGAGAGGGCTTGCACGCTGTTAAAACACGAACATTTTCGGTATTGCGGTGTTAAAGGGCTCAAGTAAGATAATCAATAGACGGGTCCTCTAAAATCATCCCTCTTTCGTATAAAGATGAGTATATTTAAAGGCAATATTTGACGTCTGCGGTTTATAGTCACTCCGGTTCAATGACTAAATGCAGCAACGCGTTGCTGCGGCAAAGCTGCTCTGTCCTGCTGATGATGTCAAAACTCCGGCAAGTTGCGCCACTCAGCCACTGCGGGACGAAACAATTATAACACAACCGGCACCGCCGAGTCTGCTCATACAGCTGCCGGCTCCGCACCAGTACAATTCTGAACATTTTCAGCCCATCATTATTTCTAAATAGCAACTGCACTTGGCTTGTCATTTCGTTAGTAAAATACGCTGAAATAGCCATGACAATGTAAACTGCTTGGCTCCCCAAACAGCCTCTCGGTGAAAGTACTGTGGCCAGTGCCCCTCAAGAACTTTTGCTTCACACATTTTGCAAACCCGTCTTCCGTAGAAAATAATCTAAAAAAAAATACAGACATTTTCATAAGAACTGTGATTCTAAAACCTTATTGGAAGAATTAGATTGAAAAAGAAACCTTAGTTCTTATCTCTTTTTCTGTATATCTCAGAATCGAAGTAACGTTCAGTCATTTAACTTACCTCTTCGGGAGAGAAAGGGTAAGCGGCTTCAAAATTAGCAACGAAGTGCACAGTGAGCCAAAATGCCTTTATACAGCCCCTGCCTTGTATTAAGTTAACATTTTACCCAATTCTGGTGTAATTTTAACCCCTTCCTTTCCAATAAAAATAAGGATGCTCTGGAGATTTTAGTTTTAAACTACCAAATGCCGCAATTTCACCCCAAAAAATCATTTAGTTATTCTTCCAGTTTGCACCTTTCTTCTTTATAATAAACCTAACCTCCCCGTGGTCTGGCTTCCCTTCAATGTCCCCGAATTTCTGTTTTCTCTCTTGTTTCATAGCTTTTTATACCGGCTCAAGCCGGTCCAACATACACGCGCGGGAGCGCGCCTGTGATGCTGTCTCCGCAGAGCGCGCAGCGCTGTTCACAGTGCGCCACAGCGCAGTGTAACCCGCAGTTCGGCCACCCCTGCGATTCGCATACCATAAACCTGAATTTCCACTGCCAGGAGCACCGTTTAATGCCACAGACAACAAAATTATCTCATATAGCAGCGTAGGGAAATAACGAATACCTAGAAAATGCAGTATCAGTACCAGGGACTGCAAAAAATGTTCCTGTTGTTAGTTCAGCAACCATGTTTAGTCACAGTGGGCTCTTTACAGAGACCAAGGTTTTCACAGACCCTGTTTAGCACAAGTCGTGGTATCGGACTAACTACCTAATGTAATATCGGATAAACAAGCCTGGGAACTATACCTAATTATTGAATTATTATCTTAAAGAGGAACATATGAGAATACCTGAAAGCTGGTGGTGTTCATGATATCAAGTCGCTGTTTATTCATTTGACGTTTTAAGTGGAGGTGTACAAGGTTTCGGAAAAAAAAACGCCTTTTTTATTAATGTAATTTGTATTATCCCCTTTGTCGGAGTTCGCGTGCAGTTTGAAATGCCTTCAAATTAAGTCGATGAGAAACTGTACACGTGTCTCCTCTAGGCTAGAGCAAATGGGAGTTTTTCCCATTAACACGAATCCGAACTTCCTCCACCGTGCAGCAGGAAAGGGTGTACGCGTTTGTTTTGGGGCAGCGTTGACACATGGCCCTGTGGGAAGAAAGGGGGCCTGTGAGAAAGTAGGTCAGCCTTATCCACAACGGCTACACAAGACATCTCCAGTCAGACACAGCTAAGGCGACTCTTCCCAGCGTGGCGCGGCCGGGAACGCGCATTGCGAGTGGGAGGAGGAAGCCGGTGCCTGATGTCTGAACGAGCGAGGCGGTGAGCTGTCGTCCGGGTAGAACAGGTTTGTTCCAGTTTGAGATACTGTACAAGTAAATAAATGCGTCGAGTGAGGTTTAAACCCCTCCCCGTTGATCATGTAAAAAAATATTGATAACGAATTTCTTCGTTTATATGCCGTAGAGTCGATTCTGAGCCTTTGTGTGCTGCTGATGGTATATTTTAACGTCATGTATTGTCTCCGTGGTTTATAAACACCTTTGCAAAACTAGATTTGAATGGTCCGCACTCCAGTCCTCGGCGAAAAGCTTATCGACGTGTACTGTATTAATAAAAATATACATTTTCCCCCTTCTGTGCAGTTATCAGTTTGTTACTTGACCTGTTCCATGTTTGCACTTGCCGTGCTCGATATTTTAGCAGATGTTGTTTCCTTAATGCAATCTTGCAATTTCACTGGTGGACAGCTCCTTAACTGGAAGCTGGTGTGTGAAAGACAACATTTAGCAACGATTGTGTAAATAAATTGTAGCAAGAAGGAACGGGAAGTCTGTGTTACAACGTACTTTAAATAAAGGTTCGCGTTTCTTGTTTCTGTGTACATCTGAATCGCCCACAGTGTTTTTTGTGCAATTCGAAAACTGCAAGGATTTATACTGATCAGACATATATCGTAACGTTAAATACGATGGTGGTCTATATTAAACATGTTTCAAATCAGCCTTAATTTTGATTCTTGCAAAATTATGTTGTTGTTGTTTTTGTTGTTGTTGTATTATTGGTTGTATTGAGGAATCCTTTGTAATTTTAAAAATGGTCAACCTTTAAATTTGTATTTACTGACGGTCAACAAATATGAATTGAAGAAGCCGTAAAGAGGGTTTAAAGGTTGTGGAAAATGTCCTGTTTATGAAATATTATGATACCTCTAAATCCTGCAGGACAATGGCTCTCCAACACCAGGGTTTGAAATTCCTGTTTCATAGTATTATCGTACCATCAGAAATATACAACGAGTTTCGTACAGTAACGTTTACACCCACATTATGAACAGTATCGCATGTACTACAGTACTTCCTCAGGAGACAAGTTCAAAGGATGCAGTCATGATGAGTCAGCATGTTAGCTAGAGGGAAGGTTCAGTATGCAGGTTGTCAACCGGAGTTGTAAACAGAGATTTCTTAAGAAGCGTCCACTCCTTCCTGTCCTTTGAATTTAGCAGAGGGAAGGGTGTATGATGGATGATGCCAGTACTGGGAAGCAGACTTCCTTACATAGATGAAATGAGAGATTAGACAGTTAAAATAACTGAAGTTTGTGGCAATAATACTCATTAAGGAAAAAGTCAGTTGCTTTTACTTAGGCAGGTAATACTAGTATGGGAATTCTGGCAGTTACTGTATATGTCCTATAGAAAATGGGCATTCCTGTGTTTTGTATTGCAGTGTACCCAGTGGTGAATTACATATTTACATCCATCCATTTTCTAACGTCCTTATTCGATTCAGGTTTGAGGGAGGAGCCACAGCCAATCCTGGCAAGCAACAGACATAGGGCAGGATAGACCCTGGATGGGATACCAGACTATTACAGGGCACATGATGTACTCACACAGACATGCACGCACTCACATCAGGGACAATTACCCCAAAAGCCATGTAACCTACAGTACCTGTATGTCTTTGGACTGTGGGTGGAAACCCACAGGAACACAGGGAGAGGGTGCAAACTCCACACAGCTCCCCAGGTCCACCGCACTGTACCGCCCACTATCACAGCTGCATGTGTAAAATAACCATTTTGCCATTTGACAGACAGTTTTACAGAAATGCAGTAAGATGCAGGAAAAAAATATCACAAAAGATCCTTGCAGTGCATATTCTGTGAAACAAACACAACCTAATTTACAGGATTAAACAAGAATAAATTGACATGTAAGCTCCAATGCTACTGTACTGTGTAAGAGCCGGCTTACCAGAGCAGGTGACGTCACCGCCCTTCCCTGTGATAGCAGGACTACAGCTACTGGGCTGTAGAGAGATCTCTCTTTGGCTCACCGGGCTGGGTCCCTGTTGAGTGACGTGGGAGTCCTGGGTTTGAGCCCCCGACGGTGGGGGGCTGACCTAATGCGGCAAGGGCGCCCGCCTGAACCCCCGTTGCGTTACACTACATTAGAGAAAACACACCAATCAAGATTTTGTACAAACCTCCACTCTTACTGTAAACACTAAACCTAATATAGTTCAAACTTTTTCACCCAGAGGTGCCTAGTTATATACTATCTGTGTATTATTCCCAGGCCTTTCTTTGTAACCAGAAGACATGAAATGCCTATTACCATTTATTTCTCATTATTGTCATCTGAATTTGAGCTCTTACCTTTGTTGATGAATGATAGAAGCAGCTCTTTGCCCGGTTGTTTAAAGTCCTCGCTAGCTGTCTGATTACTTGAAGGGGGATCAAGTGTGGGGTTGAGTAAAGTAACTTGCATAGGGTTAAAAAAAGTAACTTCATTTACATGGAGGATATGTTCTAGAAACTGCTGGGGTCAGGTTGCAGTTGTGCACTTTCTCAGTGAGAAGCATTTAACATATGCTTGGAGCGGTCTGATGAAACAGTCAGAGGTCACTTTGTTCCATAAGTTATATGTCTTTAAAAAAAGGGTAGCTTCCGTTCAGCTTGCTTGTGCCTGGAAAACCTAACTAGAGGCTGTCACACCTCTTCACTACAGTTCAGAGGTATTATCAGTATTTTATTATTATTTTGTACTCCAATCACCCTTTGCTATTTAGTACAGTAAGTGGAAACTGCAGTTTTAACCATCTTTATTCTTAGCGATAGTGTATTAGTAGTGTAGTCTAATACGGTAGTGCATTAGTATCTAGCATTAATTAGAGCTACTTTAATTTGGACACTAATACACTACTGTATTTCCTTGCACCAAATATAATTTTTGTAAAATAATCAATTTTGTCTCAGGTGGTTTTCTGTGTTTGCCTCAAATGTACATGGCAACTGATTCCATATGGCCCATGATGCTATTCTTTATCTTTCCAAGCACTACAGACTAAATAAACAAACCAGACAACAGCAGAACCACAGACACACTAGTTCACTGCAGAAATTCCTACTATGTGCTGATTATTTAAACAATATTTCACTAAAAAAGATAGTTTACACTTGTTTGTTATTGCTTGCAGTTATTGTTTACAATAATTGTATGCTAATTGCTAATATGCTAATTCTGTTACATGTCTGTTTTCAGTTAACCATTGAAGGCTAACTGGAAACATCTGCAGTTGGTTTCCTTGTTACATTAAATTGCCAGAAAATTCTAGGAATATAACCAGTAATTAAGAAGAGTACATTTGAAAAAAAAACATTGGTGATTAACAATGAGTGTTATCATGAGTGGCGACTGTATATTTTTAACTGTTACAAATTTAACTTAATTTAAATTGTCAAGACATCATAATTTTAGTAAAGGAAATACATTTGACACAATGCAATAAAATGAGCTGTAAGCATGAAAAACTGAATGGAGCTACAAGGGTAGTTCTATCCTTGAATTAAATAGGTTGTTAAGTTGAATTGTATTCTTTTCTGTCATCACTAAATCAACTGACTTTTTTGTGATATGAGGTAATTATGTATTATTACAGCTATTTTATGGTTAATAGAGAGTTCCAGAATTGAGTGTAAAAAATCAATGTTACTAAACATTGTTATCTGAGAAAATATTTTCCAGGGAGACGAACCTTAAATGAGAGCGCCGACCTTCAGCACAAGAGATGTGATCCTTTCTCCTGCCTGTCAGACTTGTCTCAAAATTCTACATCCCATGTTTTCCAAGACTTCCTCATTCTGCACTCTTCCTGATGAGCAGCAATCCTACAGAGTAAAGAAAGAGAAGTCAGTGTCAGTTACTTGAAACATCTGACATCTTCTGATGTGAAGTTCCTTCTGTAAAACAAACCTTAACCAGCAAAATCATCTGACCGATGGCCTGAGGCTTCATCATTATCTAATGATAATCATATGAGGGGAGACTGGTTTGTTTCACCCTGCTTAAAGAAGTGGACCAATATCAGAGTGAAAGAAATATTGAGGCAGAACAGTGTGTGACAGAGCAGACTGTTCCAGTGCTGCTCAGAAGAGAGAGAGAGATGCCAGCAGTTTCAGTACCTCTCTTGCTCTCTGGAGCTGTGTTCACTGCACTTGTGTACTTTACCACTAACCACCTTGGGAGACGAGACACATACAGCTACCTGAAAAAGAAACCAAACTTCATCATTGTCCTGGCTGATGACATCGGATGGGGAGATCTGGGACTGAACAGGCCGGGAATGAACCACACCCCCAATCTGGACCGTATGGCCCAGGAAGGCATGAGGTGAAGTATTGTACACTAGTGGGACTCATTGTGTTAATTTCAGTGTCCCATAAACTTACACCTGTAGTTGAATTTGTTTAGGGGGTTATTTTATAAATATACTGCTGTGGAATTAAGTTAGGGGTTTTTGAGTTG